TTCATGTGTATATAGGTGATGATAGATCGTAGGATGACATCGTTAAAGGGTGTTCAGGGTTAGCGATACGACGAACATGCCGCCCTTCGCAGAGTACTTGTCCAAGCAACTCAATCACACTGAGGAGGCTTCCAAGGCATCATCAGTAGTAGTATCCTCTATGTCTCCCTTGAGGCACTCTTGGTGATTCATCTTAGGATGATGTCTTCCCGTGTGATACCTACAATGTGGGTAAATCCTCTTCCACAGCTGCCAGTGAGTGCCGAGCTCAGTCGAGTCGCGAGTCGCCGATGAGCTCATCTGCCCGCTGTCAAAGTGCCGAAGTCTTGTATCCTGAATGGGTGCAGAGGTTGATAGAAGATTGTGATGATGATGATAAGAATATAAAAGACATTGATGCGGGTCTTGACCAGCAACCGAAGCCGTCAAGACCGGCGGAATTCCGTGCGGCCGCACCTGAGTTCTCTCCCGCCTTGTCAACCATCTACTCAACATTGCAGCCCATAGGCATTTGGGTCGGTCTCAACCATCTGGCCCGCAAGATTGGGTATGCGGCTAGGGGGTGGGAGATGATATGGGACCTCGCGGACATTGGCTGGATTCAGCTCAGTGATTGTGGCCTCTACTGCCGTCTGGCGGACTCATGGGGCTCCTATGAAGCTACTGTGGATCCTGCCTTGTCATCATCATCATCGACGACTACCTCGTCGGTATCGCTAGAGTGCGGGGATATGCAGCAACAGCAGCAACACTATGGCATATACAGGAGTGGCCTCGAGGCCCAGGAGGGTTGGAGGAAGGTCTGTGAAAGGGAGGAAGATGGTGCCGTAGCTGTAGGAGGCTTGGAGCCTCTGGAGCTCCAAACCTGGACGTGGAACTCACCATCAACTCGAGGCTGCTTGGTTGACAATCCGTCGGTGATGCTGACCGGACTTCTCGAGTGAGTATTACAGATTCCGATGAATCACGTTATCATCATTTCCCACCAACTCTATTGAAGTACTATGATCTCGTTATGGAGTTACTACTCACACATAGTGTCCGTTCGTGGATTGCCGCTGCTGCTGCTGCTAGTAGTCTACCTATCATCCTGTCTCTCCTTCTCTTTCAACTGTTATGACTGCTGGACGGCAGGCATCGTTGTCGTCGTCAGCAGCAGCAGCAGCAACAATCAGAGATAGGTCTCCCATCGACTTCTCGTACGTAAGCTTATCACCATGAATATCGGTTAGTTTCAATACTAAGTCAGTGTAGCGTTCTCCCCCTCCCTCCCAGCATTACTATTCCTCTCTAGTCCTTAGGGATGCCCTATTCCGATCCCTGTAGCTCTTGCTTGAGCTGGTGCTCCTCCCAGGCGGCCTGTGTGGAGAGGGGATTGACCGCGCTCTTGCTCTGCGTTGTTGTCGCGGACGCCATATATGGTGTCCTTTCTACGAGGACAACGGTCCCCGATAGACCATTCGAGGGCCATACGATTCTTCTCAGTCCCTCAGAAGGGTTCGTATACAGTATAACGCAATGTTTGACCGTTACGTATTACCTAGGGTGTGTCGCTGTCAGCTTGCTCGTCATTGTCGTCGGGTGCACGTTCCCTATCAGTGAGGTCAGTAGCGCCCCTTGTAAGGCTGGTCAACCAATGGGCTCACGTGGGAGGGCTAAACGTGGTGGGCGGCATACACTGAAGCGTGCCAGAAGGGAAACTGATCGCATTCACAGGTGAGTCCTATTTTCATCGTCCTTCGGAACTCCCATTATCAGGAAACGAGGCCGCTATATATCCCGTAGAGTGAAGACTATGGGCGGCTGCGGTCGAGCTTGCATGACTTGCCGTTTCGATGTGATATGCAACTATGTGAAGCCGCGAGGGGAATGGGTGCCGACTCGTTGGATAAGGAGTAACCTCGACCCTCTAGGTCGTAAGGCCCTCGATAACATGATCAACAACGGGTGGCTAGAATTTAGCCCGTGTGGGAGGTACTGTAGGGCGCATTCAGAATCGGAATCACCAGTGCAAGCACCGATGGCAACAAATGAAGACGCTACATCCAACCAAGCAAAGGACGATTCTGATGTCGGTGGCAACGACTGGGACATGAACCCTGGCGATGACTTTGTTGTCGAGGATATTATGCCTGAGTCGGAATCGCGGGATGGTTGCTGCTGCCTACCGCCCTCACCAGAGGAGGAGGAGGAGTGCTCTTCTGAGTCTAGCTGGGAGCTGTGCGAGTCGCCGACTTTACTGTGATGATGGCGGAGATGATGCATGACCACACAATGTTATGAAAGTGATTCTGCTTGGACTGCCTTCTTGCTGGTATATGTCCAACGCGCTACTACCAATTCCGCTGCTGTTAATGTTATGCCATATAGCAATGATTTATCTATGTAAGGTCATTCATGTATCGTGTTATAGTACTTCTACTACTACAGCGGAACCTCACACCAAAGTTCGTGTATGTCGCACCGTCCACTCGTGCGGCTGCTGCGAAGAGGCTTCTGCACCTCCTCCACCCCAACGGGGGTAATGTCGACTGTAAGGGAGACGGTACCAACGGTGGCTTCAGTTCGGCACGATGGGATGCTCCTGCATCCCGAAGTCATAGGACAAGTAGGCCGGACTTAGAAGGCTGGGAAAAGAGGATTCGATGCAGGTGGTGAAGAACTGGGACCTGCACAGCTATTCCCTCCTCGAAGTGGCCCCCTGGATGAACGCTTCACCGGCCTTGCAAGAAAGGTAGGGGAGATGGCGCAGTGCAGGAGGGCTCTAATGGACCTGTTAGGTTCGCCAACACACTGGACATCTTCCAACTGTGCGACCCCACAGGTAAAGTTATGGGCCACTACGACCGAGGGGTATCGGCACTATTGAGGACTACACTGAAGCTTGGGGACAACAACACAGTGCCGTGTGGGCTGATACTTATGTAGTTGCAGAGGGTACTATATAGGGTAGAGTACTGATGTTAGGTATGAGACCCAAGAGCATGCTACCAATGAGTTCTCGAGGCTCCAGATGAGGTCTATGACCGAAAGGTAGTTGGGCTCCTGCTCAGTCATCAAGGGCTTGTCCCATGGCACTGGTGTAGTTACGCAGATGAGTGGCTGAATGAACTACAGCCGACTGAGGAAGGAGGGGAGCCTCAGCCTGGGGTTATACTAACAGTTCACCACTACGACCCACAAGTGACCCATCCGTCACAGTACGAGATAGAACGGAAAGATGGTATATCGAGGTCTTGCTGGTAGTCGGCGAGGAGCCCTCAACAGTGCCCTCTTCAGGTTGGTATGTGTAGTGAGGGCCCTACATGTGAAGTACTTCTGGCCACGAGAAGCGGGAGATGGACAGGTGGGCCGGCCCGGGTGCCGCGATATTGGGCATGCGATAGCTGTAGGTCATCCAGCTATCACCGGGTCAAACCTTGGGGACGGCAGATGATTACAATATAGTCACGGACCTGCAGACTTGGGAGACCGGCGAGAAGTCTAATGAAGCGCCGCAAAAGTACTCATGGATGACGTGCTCCCTACGACTGCTGTTGTGTAGGGCAGCTGAGGACGATGACCCTGAGGACTTCTTTCGAGTGCTCCCGTGGGTGAAGGACAAAACTAAGAGCGATTTCGTTAGAGCAACTTATGCATATGTCAAAAGGGACGATGCTGGCGGTGAGGGCTTGATCCCTTCACTGGAAAAAAGCCTCATTGTGCATTGCAGAGATAACCTCAGTGGTGGCGGCCGTGTCGGTGACAGGGGACGTTGACACGAAGAAGCCTGCGCGTCTGGTGATGGCCTCCCCTTATGTCGATACGGAGTCAGTACCGCGAGAGGAGGCCGAGCAGGCTCTGGACACTGTGCTTCAGCATGTCTTTGCTAAGTATCGGAGGAGCGTGTGAGGCTGGCAGGTGTAGTTATTGCATTGAGTATTCCTTTTCTTAGTGGGATCATCTTGTACGACTCGAAGGATACTTTTTATGAGTTTACTGAGGAGTCCATACTCCCGCGGCATCGGTATTGGACTGATAGAGAAGCAGGTATATGCCTTACCGCAGGTACCCCCATGTTGGTGGCGTCTGTTTCTACCCTTCTTATCGTGTTAGTCCCGGTCCAGATGCCTGTGCCTGCCCAAGAGTGCCTCCTACACTCCCCGTACGTCATACCAGCAGAGTTCCTCAGTTTTGAGACCTACTTCAAGACCCCTACGGGCTAATGACGGCCATGTGATAAGCGTTTCCGTTGAAGACACTATTCTTTGTGTTAATACTAGTACTGTACTGGCGGCCCTTTTCACAGAACCGAACGACACATGCGTAAACTCATCCTGGATACCATCGCTGGTCGCAGAGTGTCCTCAATCGTAGCCTGCATCCTCGTACTGTTGCTCCTAGAGTACATCACGTGTCGGTTCATACTTGCTAGAGTGGCGTACACTGAGATAGATTGGAAGGCTTACATGCAGGAGGTGATCGCCATGGAGTGGTAGGAGACTGGCATCACTATAGTTCAGGTTGAGGGTTGGCTGGTCGATGGCGATACGAACTACTATCATCTCAAGGGTGATACCGGGCCCTTAGTATACCCAGCAGCCTTCCTGTACTTGTACGCTATCCTGAGGTGGATAGCCGGTGGGGACGGCACGGATATCCCGGCGGCTCAGCAGGTGGCTGTTAACGAGTGCTCGTGGGGTCACGCAGCATCTCAGGTTTTTCTCTGGCTCTATCTGGTCACTGTCGCTATCGTACTCGTGTGTTTGGCGTATGCTGGCAGGAAGAAGTCAGTTACACTGGTCTACTATGCACTTGTATGCTTCTCTAGACGGACACATAGTATCTTCCTATTACGCCTTTTCAATGACGCCTGGTAGGTGTTTCAACCCCTTACTAGTCTTACACTCGCTACCTGTCAGGTGCGTTGCCCTCGTCCACTTGTCCGTCCTCCTCATGGTGGTCCTCGGCTATCGTCGTTTAGGCTGTGTGGTGTACAGCCTGGCAGTTGGTGTTAAGATGAATGCCTTTCTCTGGGCCCCGGGGATATTCGTCTTCTTATTGGGTCCGGGAGGACTCACCTGGCAGAGGGCCTTCTCAACCCTGTGCTTCGTCGCTGTCTGGTGTGGGATCCCGCAGGTCGAGGCAGTTGTTTGTGTGGTGACCAAATATGCCGTCATTTTCAGATTCTCATTGGCCTCCCTTTCCTCACCACCCATCCCCTTCCTTATCTGCACAAGTCCTTCGAGCTCTCCCGAGTTTTTTTCTACAAGTGGACTGTCAACTTCAAGTTTTTGCCAGAAGATATCTTCGTGTCTCGTGAACTCGGCATCTTGTTGCTCATCACGACAATCATGTTGTGGGCTTGGTTCGCTCACCGGCGATGGCTTCCAACTTGGTTACTACAAGATCCTCTTCTGGTACTCTACAGTAGCAACTTCATCGGCATCGCGATGTCTCGAACGATTCATTATCAGTTCTACTGCTGGTAAGTGACAGGTCGTCTACTGTTACTTCAACGTTGAGCTCTTACCGACTACATGCAGGTACTCATTCACCATACCGTACCTATTATGTCGCAGTCAGTGGACGAGGAAGGCGGCTGTAGATTTCATCATCAAGATGATCATATGGGGATCGATTGAGTAGGCATGATATTATTTGCGACCTCAGGAGTGTGCCTATAGGTACGCCTATAACGTGCCGCCCGTGCCTGAGTGTCGACATCTCCCTAAAGGAACCGACTTTTGTGACAATCCTGCAACCACATTGAGCAGTGCTCTGCTCCAGCTCGCTCACGTTGCTCTGTTGGTAGGGCTCGCGAGATATCAGATTGAGTCAAAGAGTGCGAAACTTGAATAGTTTCCGAACTTCGAGTGTCCCATTGTGTTCGGCATTCTATCTGGCATCGTGTTGGTCGGTTCGGAGCGATGGGGGGCCTTATGAAGTCATCGCATTACACCGTTTCCTATCCCCAATTTGCAACTCATCATAACGCTACTGTATGTCTCTGAATTCCAGGTCTTTAATTCCAGGTCCAGGTTTGTTATTTATATCCCTCGTATTGTCGCTCTGTAGTGTAGATGTAGTTGCCAAAACCGCACTAGCAACGCGAGATAGAACCAGCAGCAGCAGTTAGAAACATAGTTACATTATTTGGAGGGTAAACGAGCAAAGCTTTCGCCAGTAGAAACATCCATCCTGAAGTCAAGTCCAGCAGGACACACTTGATCTGCCTCAACCTTCTGCCACTCAGTCGTCGGATAGAAAGGCCTCTTCCCTGGTGGAATGGCAGCCTTCTTCCTAGAACTCTGTTCACGCTCATCGTCAGTCTCATCGCGGAAGAGATAAACTGCAAGGCCGATTGCTGCAACAACTCCACATATAACAGCGATGCTCCGTCGATGGTTATTGGAGACCTCCCAAAGTGTCATGATGGAGAGACAAAATTAGCTAAATAAACCAACAGTGAGAAAGATACGATCCACTCAAAGCAACTCATATGGGGCGATGAAACTATGGGGAACACAGCAACGAGGAATTGGCACAATCGAGGATTGAAGCTACTGCTGATTGCCGTCGACTTCAGTAATGTCCATGCTACCGCTACTCCTATCGTCAAGGGGGGTAGTGGTCAACGTAGGGTCATCATTACTAGGCACCGTCAGACCTTCAGACCCTCCTTGCCTCTGGACCAGCTTGTCGCAGTATGCCCTCAACATAGGCGCTATCAGTCTTGATCGGGCGTCCCCACCCGTATAGTATCTCTCAGCCAAGTCCAGAGGAGTCATCCTACCAGAAGACACCATACGAGGGAATCATCGAGCCACACGTCGCCGTACAAGGACAAGTTCGTTGGTGATGTTGTTCGTGCCTGGAGGAGGCTCTGGTCGATCCCGAGCTCCTTCTCGAGTGATAATATGACTTCACAGCACCGTACTGAAGTACCCTCGACTGCATAGTGCAGACAGGTCCAGCCGTAGCGGTCACTGAAGGAATTGGAGGCTAGGCGACATAGAGGCCGGCTGCTGCTACTACTACCGCTCCTTGAGAGCCTCTGGGCCAATCCTATGCAGTAAAACGTCCAAAGAGAGTGGCATGTCGTAGAGGGCAGCTGTCATGCTTAACGTTTGTCCAGCCGAATCAGGCGTGTCTAGAGAAGAGTGTGGTATACTAGGAGATGATGTGACGGAGGTGTGGTACTACGATTAGCCCACATCAACTTCCTATTTGAAAGTTGTTCAATCTTGTGACTGATGGTTTCATCGTCTTTCTTGGAAGCCATCTCAGCCATGAGTAGCTGCCGCCGCTGATCCCCAGCCTCCTTCATGGCTAGCAGGCATCTGATCCCATAACGAGATTCCTCATTGGTCTATGAATATGCGCACAGGCACCTCCATGCTGACTGCAACTTCACTACTGCCTCTAGACGCCCATGAGCTTCTCTTCGTGCTGTCCATCCCTTCCAATAGGCCGCAATAGTAACCTCAGCCTTACGCCTCCTACGCCGATCACAGAGGGGCCGCCACCAGCGCTAACAAGGGGGATGCCACCGGCCCTCGCGCTGATGGTAATACCTGTATCCTTACTGCTGCTCGATATGGCCCTAAAGGGTCTGCTAACCGCAATAGCCGCGCTTCATGGGCCGACATCTCGGACCTCCAGGCAACGATAGGGAGAGCGATGTAACACAGGTATGTAGGAATGTCGATGGAGGCGGCCACGAGCCTAACCTGAGAATCCCCATGCGGCCCCAGGATACTCAAGGAGGGCGCACCTTCGATGCGAGACTACTGCCCTCCCGGGTGATGATCCTATAAGAAGTCCACCATAAGGCCGCTATGAAGATGGTGGCGGCTGAGATAAGTACGATGGAGATGAGGAGAAGACATGATACAGCAAGGGACGGCATTAAAACAAGCAGGATAGAGTGACTGCACTGCCGTCCTCGTTGTCAGTAGCGGAAATATGTGATTCGAATATAAACCCCTGTCCACTAGATGCAACACAAGGCTTACCGATTGAAATATGCGACACTACCACTGTCGAATACTCAGCGATAAAATATAAAAATCCTCATCATCATATTGAGAAAGGAGGAAGGGCGCCTTGCACTCGGCGCATACACAACCTCCCATCATCTCCTACCTACGAGAAGTGCGAGCGTTGCTGCCGCAGGGCTGCTGCTGCGGCCGCTGCCCAGGACGGTAAAACTGGACGCCGTTGAGGCCTCCGATGAACTTGCACTCTCTGTGGACCTTCAAAAATGCCTTTACTATAGGAGTACCATCCTCCCTATAGTAATCCCCCAGAATAGGCTTGATAGCATCAGTGGCTTCTCTAGCATGGTAACAGGGGATCCTAGAATCAATGTGGTGCAGAACATGAGTGGTGCCAATTT